GGAAATGTTTTTGAGTTAAATAATTATTTAGAACAAGACGAAGAAATAAATGAAATGATAATATTTACCATTATATAATTGATCTCGAGACTTTTAATCCGTGAAAAGTGTTTGAATAATTCTCATTCAATAAAAGCTACCTACTTTTTAGCCAAAAGTATTCTAGGTAAATCAAATGTTGGCGGTGAAAAAAATAGAAAAGCGCGAACCGCAAAGTGTTCAGATTAGTAATGTTGCAATCATGGAATTTATTATCATTAACCTATTCATAGTAAAAACCTGTCCATCTATTGCTTACTAATTAGATGACATTTTGTTCAGCCGTAAGACCAAAATATCTCGTAATACGTACTTAATTAACCATGTTTATGTTATTTGATACTTTGTTACTTGCATAGTCGATTTTACTGATGCTGACACTAGTCAAATTGCTTTTTATCCTACTTGCGCTATATGGCCAATATGTAAAAGGCCAGCTTTTTCTTCATTATTTAAATAAAAAATCATTTTTTATGTCATAGAATGTCGAAATAAGCTTTAAAATTTTTATGGATTATTTCGAAATACTCCAAGCTATACAGTCACATTTCCACAGACTCGACTATTTATCAAAATCTGTAGAGTCTACCCACTATCGCTGTTGGCTGTATGTGAACAATACAATAGGTACCGTAAAATGGGGTGAATAGACACAACTTTTATGTTTCAAGCCGATTTTCTTACAATTTTTTGATCCATGTTGTTATAAAACATGTTTTAATTGTAAGTCGCGTTGTAATTTGCCAAATAATAATGCTTAAATTATGTAAAAATACGTTAATTAGTTGTTATTTAGGAAAATGTGGCCCGTTTCTATTTACCTGGAAACTGGGGTCAAAAGATACGAGAGAGGGGTGAATAGAAATAAAACGCTAGGGCTGTCAAAACTTATTTTTATTATAAGTACCTACCTAACTTGTTGTAGTAGGTAAGTACAGTGTGTATAAGAGAATATACCTATTGGTATGAGTGAGAGTGTTGAAGTTATTTTGCAGATGTGTGTGTAGTGTATTGTGGTGAGGTGTGGGTGTGTTGTGGTATGTAGGCAGGTGCGTTCAAAGATGTGTTATATAGGTATTATTATCTTAGGAAACCTAAGAACAAGTTTAGTTTAGTTTATCTTAGAACAAAGTAAACAAGTTTAAAGATATTAAAAAATAAAACAACTTCAAATTCCAACATAAACAATAAAAATTTTACGAAAAAAACTACTTATTTGGCAAAATATCTTAGGATCTATATGTTTCTTAGATTGAGATCAAGTTCGCATCACAACGAATCACAAAATGAGTTAGACATACTTCCACCCGGTTTCCGAAAGGCCGATCAATGTTAAAATCAATTATCTATATCTCTTGTCAAGTCATCTGATTGGTTGACTGAATTATCAACGACTTCACAAGAGATTTGACACCTAGTTAGTTGATTTTAACATTGATCGGCCTTTCGGAAACCGGGCACTAGTAAATAATAAAAATCACATTAGAGTTAAGTTTTGGAAATCAAATAATGGCGTACTATAGGCCGACCGTTTAACTCGCGTATCGCGCAGGCTATACGCGAGTTAAATGGTCGGCCTATAGTTATTATTACCCTCTAATCTAATTCCATCAGATCTTTTAAAATATCATCGTCATTCTTGTAGTAACTGGGACGTCTAGAAGTGCTTGCAGTTTTATTTGTTAAAATTTTCTTTAATTCAGATTTGCTTACTAGGGTATTAGAAAGAATTTTAATCTTTTTTGATTTCTTCTCACAATCTTCAACTTCATCGGTCCTTACAACAGTTTCGTGTCCTACATAATCCAAATCGTCTTCAAAAATTACAGGCATAGTATTTATATTGCAAGGACTGATGTTATACGAATAACTTGCAAGTTCTTTCTTAGGTGTATCTGCTTTTTCAATGATTATATTGTTAATATACGAACAACTTGCGCTTTCTTGATCAGGTGGATCTGTTCCATAGGAACAACTTGGAACTGCTTCATCAAGTTGATTTTCAGGTTTCGGTGGATCGTTTTCTTTGAAATCACTTTCTTTATTGGTTTTTGATTTTTTTCCTTTACCCTTCCCTTTGCCGACTTTGTCTGTTATTTTAATTTCTTTTTGCTTTTTCTTCTTTTCTTTTAGGTCTGAACAAGACACGTATTCTCGGTCAGTCTCAACATAGTCCTCGTCGCTTGAACATAACACACTTTTTCCTGCTTGAACTTGTAACTTTTTCTTTTTTTTTGGTTCAACTATATTACCAGTCCCGTATCGCATATCTTTTAAGAAATTTAATACTGTCTCATCAACAGTTTCGGTTTCTTTAATTTCACCGATCCAATTAGGCAATTTTTTCAAAACTTCAGAAGGATTAAAAGGATATATCCCTGTTTTCCTAAAGCCAGATATAATATTAGCTGGACCATTTTCTTTTAGAGCGTCCATTAGTTTATTTAATAATTTGGGAAAACAACCTTTCGGAATCGATGCTTGATTCCTACCATCAGTTTTTTTCCAGTGTAATATTATGTTTCGCCATGCTATCTTCATTGGCCTAAAGAAAGCAACATCCAGCGGTTGCGTCAAATGTGTGGAGTTGGCTGGTAAAAATATAAAATGTATGTCCTTTTCCTGACATTTTCTTATTAAATCAATCGAAAGGTGGGAGGATAAATTATCGCCTATTAAACATTTTTTACCAGGCCTATTTTCAAAAAACGGTAGAATCATAGAGGTCACCCAATCTTCAAAAATGTTTAAATCAAACCAGCCAGATTGGCTTCTATTAAACCGAGATCCTTTTGGACCAGATTTTGTCCACGTATCGAACAAATTTTGGGCCTTGTAAACTACATATGGGGTAACATTTCTCCTGCAGCCGTACCGGCCATCATAATTGATACTGCAGCTTTGGAATGATTCATCACCCTTTCTGGATATTTTGTACCTCTTTTGGTGATAATTTTTTTTCGGCCAGGATCGTCCGCCAAATTTGTTTCATCGTAATTAATGATATTGCTGGAGTTCCAGCAATCGATATTTTCAATTGTTCAAAATACGCCTCTATAATTTCAGAAGAGACGGCAGCTCGGTTTCTTTTAATATTCTGCGAAACTCGTTCCGATATTTTATCACAATGCCTTTTTAAGAAACTTCTTGAAAAATCCGGCCCAGGCAAATTATCTTTAAATCGTTTTTCAGTAATACCCAATTTATCCAAATAATTTTTGACTAGTATTCTTAAATCATACTGCTCTAGGGGATAGCCCCATTCAGCACAGACATTAATATATTTAATGAATGACAATTCCACCTCTTTTGACAGCACTGTCTGCCCCCCTTGTGATTTTAAATTTTTAATAGTATGCCTATAAAGGACAGACTTGTCAATTTCAAATTTTTTGGCAATGCAAGTTAAGGAATCACTATTTTTGTTGTATTCCCGAACAGCTTCTTCAATAAGTTCTTTAGGGTATTTTTTATACCGCTTACCTCGAGGATCGGGTTTATAAATTCTTGGCATGATGAGTGCAGCGCAATGTTGTGTACCTGTATAAAATAAATATCAAGTATTTACTGAACAATAGACATAAATCACACAAACACACACACACACACGCGCGCGCGCACACACACACACACACACACACACTCACAGGACACAGGCACACACAGCACACACATCACACACACACACACATACACACTTACACACTTACACACACACTTACACACACACACACACACACATACACACACACACACACTTACTCATACTCACACACACACCCTCGCGCACACACACACAGCACAGGCTACATTTTATCTGACTTCGGTTTCGTACGTATACATGGTAAACGACACTTTTGCAAACAAGTAACAGGCAAAAACTAGTAATAACATAATTGAACAATTTAAACTATTTTATCGCTTATCGGCAGCCGTATATTAAAAAAGAACCAGATGTCCTTAATTTGAGTTCAAGCTTTGTATCAAATTTCATTAAAATTTGTTCAGCATTTTAGTAAAACGGATAACGGTAACAGATGACAGCCAAAAAAATAAATATTTAAATATAGTTAGCGATTGTCTACTAATTAATATGATTATTTTTTTAAGTGACAGCCGATTGACAACCCTAAAAATCATGTTTCTTTTAACCCCTGTCCCGTTGCTATTAACCCCTCACTCGTATCTATTCACCTCTTTCTGCGTATCTATTCACCCTAAAGGCGTTTCTATTCACCCCTCACTCGTATCCATTCACCTCGAATTCAAGGAAAAGTAATAGCATCCTGATTTTACTTGAAATAAGAAAGATACATTTGAATATTGACACTCACTTTTCTATTCGTAAAAGATAATCAACTTAACTAATGAAACACACAAATTCGCTAGGAGATAAGACTGAAAAACTTACGTTTAATAAAAAGTTTTACGCAGCCTAAAATCACTTGTACGCACACGTTCACTTTAACCGCTTTTTTCTTCATGTCATTACACTTGACGTAAAATTGTGTGTAGCCAGCATAAAGGCAAAATGTTGCCGTGTAATAAATAGTGGAAATAAATATTCTCTGATAGCCCATAGACCCACCAGAGACAACTTAATCAAATTCCCAAGTTTGTTTCTATTCACCCCGCGATTTCTATTCACCCCATTTTACGGTACCTATTCGTTTACAAATTCTAATTTGATATTGATTGAGTTTTAAATTAATACAGTCAATAGCAGTACATCACAATAAAAAACGCACAATATAAATTCGATGTTATTGGTGATCGTATAAAACAAATAAATAATATATATTTGTAAGCTTTTATTCATCAGTGCCCTTTAGAAAGTTAATAACAGAAGTTACCGAGTAATTATCTACTTGTCACTCAATCATATGTTATCAATTAGTGATGTCAGTTTGTTTACTAATGAAAGATTAGGATAAAAACGCCTAATTTTTCTACTTTTCGTTATGAATTTCGATGAATCGCCTGGAGGTTCGTCGAGTAAAGGACAAGAAAATGGCGACGATTCGAATGGATCTGATCGCCCACTCAAGAAAGCACGTTTTGCGTGGCAAGTTAAAGGCAAATATCATTTAAAAAATGATGCAAACGATGCGGCTGTGGATGCTACAACATCTACCGAGTCAGAATCCACTGATGAGGAAATGGCTGGTTGTTCAGGCTATACTTGTTTGACACCAGATGACCTATTAGACAATACCAATACCGACATAAGTGAAGCTATAGATCCATATTTAGACACCTTAGGTGAATACATTTACGATCAAGAGCTGAAAAACCTACAATATGTTACTGGTAGTGCTGATGAATCCCTTCGAAGAATAAGTAAAATAGAAGATTTTGAATATAAAACTACAAGAAATGATTCTGTTATTGGTAGTTATGAAGTGGACTCTGTTCCTATGTCATTAGTAGCATCAGAGACTTACACAGAAGACCAGTGCATAGCTCGGTGGCAGGCTAAACAGGTAACAATTAACAAGTTATGTTAATTTAAATATTTTCATAGTCTTAAGTACAGTTTTAGTCCATATCTTTTTAAATATTATAACTTGTCTTGTTCATATTGCAGATGGCGAGAGGATCTATTGACAATACAATAAACCGTGTCCTAGATTTCTGTAAAGAAAGTACATCAACACCTGAAGAGGACCATGTAGCACATGATGTGGCAGAACTAATAAACAATCTCCCTGAGGATGACAGTATTGAAAACGAAGGAATACTTATGGCTATCTCAGCTCACGGATTACAAAATGCTTCCAACTCTTCTTTAGCTAGAGTTGGGGAATTTGAAGAACAATGTGACTCAATTGACTATGATGGAATGCCACCAAATGTAGAAATTAGTGTACCTAATTCTCGGTCGGATGTAGAATCTCCAGAAAGATATCAACATGGTTTAAATTTAGGATTGAATAATATAGATATGCAATGGTCTTATTCAAACGCTGAAAGGAGTAGAGGAAACGAAAATTCCCCATCTCCATCAAATGTAGGCCTGCCATTTGCATTTATTGAGAATCTCCGTAATGGTGATGTAGCTTCTGGGATTATGAATGATTCTGACAATCACTGTGATGTCCTTGATGCGGCCGTTCTGTTTGCCATACAGAGCAAAGGATTGACTACGTTTGGAACTGACTATGGCTAAGATTCATATTTAGTTTAATCTTATATTAAAATGTTTTGTTCTTGTAAAATATACTGTTGCTTATAAAGACTAATGGAAGCACAAAAGGATTTTAAGTATAAGTGTAATGCGGTTCTGCCATAAAATCAGTATTTTAAAATAATAAATTTTCTTAACAATTTATTTGTTGAAATGTAACAAATTCATGTAAATAAAACACACCTATTAGTTATAGTTATATATCTGAGGAGAACTATGTATACTGTACTAGTGTCAAATGTTGTAGAGAAGTACAAAAGTTTCAAATGTTTTGAAACATATCATGTGACTGATTTTGAAAATGAGGACTTCAATTTTTTACATTACCAATGCATGTTTTATTCAATTTGTAGAATAATTATAACATTAATCTCCTATATTATCTGTCCATTATTATTAAACATTAGGTATCTTGTAGGATTTAATTTTATAATTTGACATATTTTATATTCCTGTAAAGGTGTTTTTTTAAGCTGTGCATTTTTGTTGTAATTTTTTTATAATAGAAAGTTATTTACCTTTTTTATAATCCTTATTTAGTAGATTTATTTCTTGTACTCATGCAATTTTAGTATTTAAGTACCTATTAGAAACAACAATTTATAACATAGTGTTAGTAAACATAAATGTATGCCATAATGACATTACAGTCAATAAAATGATACTCAACCAATGTTTGCCTTTTTAAATTTCGGATTTCAATTTTAACTTCATTTGATAGGGGAGAATGGAAAAGTAAGAGATTTTTACGCTAACTTCCGTTCCTTTGGGCAACAATACGCACGTACTTTTTTTTTCGAAAAGGTAGAACACGATCCTCTTTGGATCATTACCTATAAAAATAATGACTGGCCAAAAATTTTCACACAACTTACTTTTTTTTAACAATTGACTACTATTTTGTAGACACTATTGTAGTGAAATCTTAGCGCAATTATTTTAACTGATTATACATCGTTAACAGCAGACTGATTGATTACACGGTAATAAAAGTACCTACTTGTATTAGTGAGTCGATTACAAGTCATGTTAAATTACTGCAAGTTATATTTATCCTTGGACTGCGCAGAGACGTCAGAGGTAAGTAACTACGAATCTAGCTGTATTAGTAGACTTAATATTATTCACAGGCCCATCCAATAACTCATGATAGCAAGAATAGCACCAAAGAAAAACTTCACGGTAATGCAGCGGTGGAACAAGTCGCGGGTTCGATTCCCACATGAATTTTGTATGATCTACTAGTTGTTTCGGATATGTACGTGATATTTGGTATGTTTGTAAACATGTCAAGTCTAGTGTGTGGCCAAGGTTATGAGTTTTAGAGGTTTTAGGGAGTAGTGTTAAAATATAAATAAAATACTTCAATAACAATTTATTATTGCTTGTTATTATTCACATAATACAAAATAAACTATGCACAAGTTTAAGACCACTGATATTCTATTTTAGACTTCATAAAATATTCTGAATTACAACTCTGACATTCACAACATTGCGTTGCATGTAGTGTAAGACGTAAGTAACATTTACAAGTGAAATTAATATACAATAGCAGCAGTCCCTCGTCAACTAATTGTGATGTGCTCACCGCATTATAATTATTATTACATTCATGGCCGAATATCCTATTTAGGTTTCTAAATTATAAGTAACTGTACAATTATCAGCAATTATTCGTAAGTCATATTAAATATATTTACACAACTATAAATAATTATGTATTTCTCTCGGATGCCAATTGTTTAACGGTAATAATATTTAAGCACAAAATAGCGATAAAAATACACGCCTGCGCGTGAAATAAATAAAGTTCACTGTCCAAGTATGAGATAAAAACGAGAATCTTTCACAAATTAATTATGTACTTAAATCATTGTCATGGTCGTAAAAATAAAACAATAAATTGTTTACAATCTCGGCAAGATTCACGATAAAATCATTAATTTTATTCTGTTAAAATTATAAAAGGTTTCATTTAAAATACATAATAATATAAATCATTAAAATAAAAAGAAACATTTATTGATTTTACAGTTCTAATAACTACTCATTTCCTAGGATTTTACCTAATAAGAGTTTTACGGACAATAATTATTATAATCTTTCTGTGTCTTGTATTGTCATCTTTTTAAAGTTATATAGGTAATCGAGAACAAATAAATAACTTGTAGCACTGGTTTTGATAACGTTAATTAATTAGGTACATAATATCAGGATTGAACTGGATAAAATAAATCATCATAACAATTTACCAATAATAAGCTAGCGACAGACCATTATTATTAAATAATACATAGATAATTATTTAGTCATTATAGAAAATTAAACAGCACGAAAGTATTACGTGCTTCGCACGACCTAAGAAATAGTTTAAGTTAATGCTTTAACACTATATTCCAACTTTTAATTGCATGCAGTCATTTTCTTTACTAATGAATTACATGTATGTATTGTCCCTAAAAGAATCGCCAAATGTGTTTCTAATGCATGCGATTAGGAGTCGGAGTACAATATTACACTAACAGACATTGATTTATTAGCCAATCGGAAAGTACATGAATTTGTACTTGAATAATATTTTACATTTCCTAAAATTATCCATTTACATATGGATTTAAAATATTTATGTACTTACTTAATTATAGTGATAAAGACGCAGTTTATTATAAGGCAAGCCTGCCCTTAATTTCCCTAAATATTTCTTCTTTTCGATAAGTACATGGTGACATTTAATAAGAGTCATTTGATGTATATCAATGCAATACAATTGCGTTTTAACAAGTATTCATACATCTTTAATACACAAGTGGTTGATATTAGCTACTGAAAGGAAATATAAGTCACAAGAATTATTCATTTGTCACTAAAAGTGTTTCTATTTGGAAGATCCAACGATACTTACATTCAGGTAATAAAAATAGATATTGGCACTGATTTTGTTGTGCACCAACTCACTCAAAATATCTTTAATTTACATAATATATGTACATAAATATTTCTGTAAACAATAACTATTAAACTGTATATATTGCTCTAAGATATTTGAAACAAGAGTTTTTAATAATCTTTAATATACTCTTGAACAGTTTGTGTAAAGAGTTACAATGTAATTTAATTGGTTGGAGCTACCAGAATCAATGCCTTTCTGCATGTCTTATTTCATTGGTTGACAAGGTGTACAATATAATGAATTTATAATAAGGGTTGTAAAGAATAAAAAAGTAGAATTGTACTTTCTTCACATTTTATGATGAACTGCTGCAGTATATCTCACCTTCCCCCAAATATTAAAAGGCATTTCAATTCAATCTATCTAGCGAAATAGTTGACTATCACTGGTTGTTTTTAATTTGTCAACCAATCACATCAGTTAACATGACATTTGATATTAACTTACAGACTTGATCTGCAACCAAAAAATCCCAAAATTAAATATGGGGATGAGCCCATAATTGCTTTCTATATGCCATTCAATTATATCATATATTAAATTAATATTATAATGACTGAAACACAGATTCACAATAAAATATGTTAACGTACTGGCTCCAAAATGATTATTATTAAAATTAAAACAAAGCTGCACGCGATTACTATAACTACGCGACCACGTAATGTCACAACCACGCGTATGTTTGGAGCCAGCAGTTCCAGTGTATAATCTCAGTTCACTATTACGCTACTTGTATATTTACATAACTTATATTACAAGTTAATTTAATATTAAAAAAATCTCCAAAAGTTAAAAAATTGACAAACACATTAACACCCTTATACTTAACAAAGCGTATGGATTCATCATATTTACAAGTACATAAAGATAACGCGCGTAATGTTACATGCAAACTAGGGCACCAAAATAATAAGTACATTATTATCATTATTAATATAGTGAAACTAGGACCGCCTCAGGTGTCTTACAAATTGTAGTATAGTCCAATAGACTGATTCAACTTTGACTCAATAGTACACTTTGTAAAAGACCAAATAACGGGTCAGATGTGCACTACATTCAAAACTGAATGCCATACATTTAGGTCACCATTTTCATAAGGCGGAGAATGTTTATAACTTATTCACCTAATATATTTACAATATGCACAGAGACTAAAGCAACACGAATAACAGGCATCAAAAATTTCAGGGCAGCCATTTTTATTGCTTATACTTTGAAGTACTGTATCCATTTATGTGCTACCAATACTTTAACATTTATTTGCTTCAACAGATATGCGTTATGAGGAACACATGTTATATTATATTCCATACAAGGCTTATTAACCACGATTTCTTAGATTTAGGTTAAAATAAATAAAATGACAATCATAACAGACTAGACATAACAGGACCGTCTGCACTTTCATCAATAACCTATTCACCAACCATTCTGTGGAGTTACTAGCAATATTGTATTTTGATTTAACATAATATTAAAATCAATTGTAAGTCTTCAAATACATTTTAGTTATCTTAATTTAATGTAACTATCCAACATGAGATCTTCCCTAGCTAGGGTACCAACAGACCATATCTTATGATCAGACATACTAACTTCATACCCAAGCCTACTTGTACTCACATACAGTGTCCATCTTCCTTGATGAAGTGAAATAAATATTTTGTGATGTTAGGAGAGGATTACAACTCAAATAGGTGGTAGGAGGGGAGGTGAGGGGGGTACGGCGCATCGCTATGGTTTGAACTTCACCAGAGGTATATTCTTTGAATGCAGGCACTTGTCACATACCCATTCCGCGTACACTTCTGCTGTCAGTAACTGAAACGCTGGCTCTGTTAGACCCGTGCAGCCCCTGAAATATGGCAACATTGTAACTGTTAGTTGATTTAATGGCAGAAAAATATTAATAAGACTGGTAAAATTCCTTTATCTCTATTATACATAAATAGATTTTAAATATAAATAAGAACTGCTGTGAGTTTGAATGGATTGATAAGACTTTTGAATAAAGTTATTGTGTATTTGTTTTTACCAGTGATGTGTAACTAGTTTGCAACTTATCAGCATAATAAGTCATATTAATTTATAAGAGAAAGTTGTTTTATCGCCACATAAGTAAGAAATATTTAATATCAATCTTTGTTGTAAGTTGTTAAATGGTACCATTAAAATTTAAGTAAATAATATATGGAGTTGAATTTTATAATGATAAATTGAGCTCCATTAAAAAGTATCATAAATCAATAAATATATTATTATTATCACCAAATGAAAAAAAATATTATTGAGAGTTTTGAGAATATTATAATAAGTGGTACATACCGATGAAACCAAAAGTTGCAGCCAGATTCACATAATATAGCTTGATCATTGTCATGTACTTCTTTGTGACAAACTCCACAGGGATAAATAGGGGGAGCATTAGGGTTTTGAGGATTAAACACCATTGGTTGATCTGGAGGGTACACTTTACCAGCACTGACTGGCATAGGTTTTGGTCCAAACATACCCATGTTCTGGCCCATAGGACCAACACCTTGCCCCCCAGGACCACCCATTGCCATGCCACTCATTCCAGCAAGTGGGCCACAATTTCCCATGTTACCTGGGCCAGGTCCCATACCCATCGATCCATTTCCTCCCATTCCCATTGGTCCACCATGTCCCATATGACTGCTAGAGTAGGGTGGGCCTGGGCCCATGGATGTCATAGGTCCATTGCCACCCATTGGACCACTTCCCATGCCTGAAGGCATTGGACTTCCATGTCTCATAGGTCCACAATGTCCTGGCCCCATACCACCACCTTGCATGGGATTAGACGACATTATTGAATTACTAGGCCCCATTGAACCATTAGAGCAACTTGGTCCCATTGGTCCATTCATGCGCGGAACATTCATGCCCGGTCCTCCACCACCCATAGGACCATTCATTGGCCCATTCATAGATCCTGCACCAAGAGGACTGTGCATAGGTGGACCCATAGGACTATTGCTCATGTGGCTACCTGCCATTGAACCCATATTCATAGGACTTCCCATGGGTCCAGATGACATTGGTGAGCCCATTGGCATTGAATTCATAGGACTCATGGGACTACCCATTGATCTTGAAGTAGGCCCCATTCCTGGACCCATACTGTGGTTGCTCATACTCATATTGGGGCCTCCCATGGGTGACATGCCACCCATATGTCCCATAGGACTCATATTGCCCATTGGACTGATACCGCCTCTAGGAGGCATTTGCTGATTCATAGGGTTCATACCATGTGGGCTCATTAGCCTCATTGGTGGACCACCCATACCGTGCATTGGCCCCATCATACCCATCGGGCCATTTTGACTCATCATTGATCCATTTTGACTCATCATGGGACCATTATGTGATACAGTGGATGGGGAGTCATCAAAAGGGTTTGAAGCAACAATGGTATCTCCATATCCTGTTAAAGGAGGTGGCAGTAGATCTTGTGCTGTAGGAGGTGGCTGTGGAGGTGTTAATGCATTGTTTGCATTTGAAGTTTTCCTTCGCTTTTTAGGGTTGCTTGGTGCTGGCGCCGGCGGAGTCGGCGTGTCCATTGGTGGCTTGAAGTCTGGAGGCCCTAGACCAGGGCCTGGCAGCCTGTAGGACGGCATTCCAGCCAGATTGTGACTCATTCTGATATTATTCAGTTTCAGCTCTAACAACCATCATCATGAATCAATGACATGAACATTTTAGAAAATGTATTTGCACATAAGGCACCGCATTGTCACGAGAAAGCGCAATAACGTGCCGGAAGACTGGTTGTGTCTATTTCTGTAACAAAAAAATATTAGACTTGAAATAATTTCACTGCAAACATTTACATTTACTGTTCAAGCTATATGTATTAAACGATTCTATAGTGTTTCGTTTCATTGATCGTCAAAATTCAGTAGTAGATGATGGGTACGAATTTACGATTCTCAAGATTGACAGTAACGTAAGTAACCTGCCAATAATAAGCAGAAAAACATAATAGGAGGTGTGAGTTATTATAATACTGCTTCTTCTAAATGAGATAATTGAAGAAAATATCATAAAACTTACAACATTATCAATTTAGCATCAGAATTACTGATTATTTTTTTTTGTCTTCATTGAGATCCCAAGGCAGGCGTGCAACATATGACAAAATACCAAAAGTAAATCACTTTAGAACGCCAGATTTTGGGCTTCACTGAAAGCTTCTTAGTTGTTTAATGTTCTAACACACACGAAGTTCACTTATAACAAGGTTTAGTAATGCATCAAAAGCATTTTTATTTACGACTCACAGTATTCCAAACAACACACGCCACATTCACGATGTACTTCTATGACAAAATTCCCGCGAGAGGGCGCTTTGATAGTAATTTTTTTAACCATGCAAAGATGTTCAAGATGTTGATCAATGAAGGTAAATAAAATAATTTCTATATGAAGTAAACAAAAGCATAATATTTTTTTTTTAAGTTTTACCACTACATTTTTATTTATACCTATTTTAGTATTTCAAAGTTTTGTTGATTATTTAGTACGGTTAAGATAGCAAATGTTGCCATTACAATTGTAGCAAGAAACAGTAAACATAAAGCAAAATGTATAAACTCAGCATTTTGTTATTCATATATTTATTATAATATGAATTTAAATTGGTACAAACAGATAATAATTATTATTTATTGCACATAATTTTATTTATTACGCTATTTGAAACTATAAAAATAATTTTACAATAATGTTGATTAAAAAGTTGCTTGTCGATAGAAAGCGAACATTTTACCGAAATAATCAGCTGAATTTATATAAAATCTGCTAGTTATTCTTCTAAGTAGAAGAAAGAATACATCTGTAATAGTTACTACTCTAATAGATAGATGGCAGTGTTGACCTGTGCGTGAGACAAAGTTCCAGTATTGCATCACAGATGGCGCAACATGTATTTAAATGAACTAAAAACATTAATTGCTACTTTGGTTGATTAGAAAAACAAAAAAAGTCAGGTAGATAAAGGAGTCTCTGCCTCGTTTTTGTTGATATGAAAAGGAAACCAAGCTTGTCTTATCAAATCTTAAACACCTAGTTTTGAGTAACTATAACTAGTTACTAAATCCTAGTTATTAATTACATTTTTTTTATCTTAATTTATTTTTCATCATGTCTAAATCATCTCAAAAGCTTTTTCAATTTCGATCTACTTACATTTTCTCGTTACATTTCAACAATATTCCTTTGTAAAATTATTCACGCCTTAAAGATTTATTATGAAATCCAAGTTGAAATGAATACTAAACTTGCTCACATCGAGAAGGCTGAGCTCGACTTAAATGCACCGCTTAAAAAGACAGATGGAGGCCCATTATGCCAAGTTGCAAGACTCGCGACTGCACCGCCGCTAACTCTTACAGCTCCTGACTGCCTTTAAAATGATTTAAACCGACACTTCTTTAAATATACTGTACCTTAATATTATATTTACCTAGATGCTTGGTATATTTGTAGGTAACCTTTATATTCATATAATTTTTACAGAAAAATTCCTCACTTGAATCTTTTATATGGTAAACCATTACATTTCGGTTACAACAAAATGCAATGTTTACAGCATCATGTAGGTAACTCACACAATGTAGCACGAATTTAATATTTCCGGCTAGCCAAAAAGTCATGTGCCGCCTGTCGCCTTTCATTAAACAGGAAGAATGTTTATCATTCTGCATACGTTGCCAAAAAACTATGAGGTGCCACAAATTCACGGCATAAAAGTTGATAACATTCAATGCTTATACCTTATACCACGTCAGACAGTTACAAAATTTCAACTGTAGGTACTTGTTCAAACTTGGAGTGAAACATTTTCACAGATTTTGCTGCACAACGCTGCAAAACCTCACCTAGGTATACACCGTCTTTTTACTTACAAAACTTTGCACTGCGGATACATAGTGCGCTGTCAAAAATGCATACATTGCAAAATTCCCATTTCTCTTCGTTTCGCTTTTTCAAATAAATATACAATAAGAATTTTGACAGTGTAAGCCCAAACTTTTATTTTAAGACTTAAGTTATAGTGTATGTATGGAGTATCCATAACTCAATTCCTACACACACTATACATTATAATTATAATATCTAATTTCATCATTATTAGTTTGCTATTCAATTACATCATGATCATCAACCTGTAAATGTCCCTTTTTAATAATTTCATACACAGTAAACATGACATGGAATCGGGAAACTACGTCTCATTTTCCTATACTTACTTTTGTTTTCCCTCGGGTACATCAATTTTTTCCGGAGTAAAAAGTACCCTATTATTTAATCCAGACTTCTAACTTTACCTCTGCAAAATTTCAAAGCAATCGTTCAGTAGTTACGTCGTGAAAGCGGAACAAACAAACAAACAAACTCACTTTCCGATTTATAATATAAGTAAGGAATAAGTAAGGATGAATATTCTATTGACTGTAATCTTATTTCTTAAAATAATAAAGAGTTCGATAACCTTCAAAGATGAAAAAATATTACCCATAACAATAGAATTCAAAGCGTATTGATTCATTTCTAAATGCCTTTTATTTGCAAAGCTGAGAATACCTGAGTGCGTACTTGACCTAGATAAACGTGGAGGCTGTCGCCAAGCAGTGGGCCGTATCACCTGGATTAAAATAGTTAGGTGAGACTCAATTCAGTGGGAATAATTTATGTGAATTTATACAGTTGTCTTCAAAACATTATTAAATACTTAAAGAGTGTTTGTTATCCATTTGTAATTAGTTAATGATTATGTAAGAATGTAGATAAAGTTAGTAAATAATATAATTTTCTTACATATCTAATTTTTAATTATCTTCTCCCTTTGTTTATTTGATAAAATCATACGTATACGAAAAGTTATCATTATTATCTGTCGCGGAGAACCTAACGGGTTACCGGGGCTCCGGCTCGACGTGCAGGAGAAGGAACAGGGTGGTTTTTAGTCAGTAAGAGTCTGACACTCCCTTCCGCTTCACCCAGGCGGGAGCAGTCATTCGATGATTTTCCCCCATTAAAAAAAAAAACATTATCTAATTCGAATTTTAACATTTTCTTATTTAAAGTTATATTAACCGGTTTAACAGTAAAAACATGGCAAAGTCATAAACAAACAATCACACAAAGTACTTTATAAATTACTTCCGACTTATAAACTGTACAACCATTTTATAAATTGAGACAAAACTTTGAGCGAGGGATATAACGATACAACAGTCAACAGAGTGTCTTTTTACGTCGGAAAATCTTATTATTATCCAGTCAAGAGAATGATGTTAGATGAGCGTATAAAGGTAATTTGCCAAAAATATAATGAACGTTACTTACGACATCATGTAAGCACCTTACCGTCTCATGTTATTACAAAAAAATGAGAGCAAGAAAATCATGGACTGGAAAAAGCTATCGTGGCTGTTTTTCGTTCATATTTCTGAAAGTAATGGCCAGTTATATCTAACGTCAATTTGTATAGAGTACTATATTTGTAAGTCTTTTATAGTCTGTGGCGCGAGGCCATTTGCTATTAGGTAATGTTGAAGTGTAGGTACCTATAGGTTTCAGCTTGTTGAAAAAAAAACATTGTTTTATATTAGTGTTTAAATAAGACTAGTTGGTATTTCACGAATCCAGTTATTTGATATTGTTTCAATAAATAACATAAATAGATGATAAGTACCTATTCAAAATCAATCACAATCCATTAAGTGAACCTTTATCATCAATTTTAAGATTACTTGACGAATTATTAGATAAAAGATGTCATTATTGTAATAAAGACGAAGTTTTCAATTAAGAATCCGTCACAAGCAACAATATTATAAGATCTATGAATAGAATATCAAAGAGTTGAAAGTCAAGACAATTATAATAGTTCGAGATTCAAGAGATTCCAATAATCCGTCTGGATTAAAATACTGAACAAAGAAACCAGGAAAAAGATATTTTAGCTCGGTAAGAAGTAAGTAGATTTTTTTAAAACTGATGTCTAATTGAATCGTTTTATAGACTCAAAATAGAGATTTTGTGTAAAATATGTAGCTATGTCTAATCATAACGTTAAAATTAGACACTGTCGCGATAAAATAAACCAAGTAAGTTTAATGAAGTAAAAAAATATATACGATCCTCAAATTTCTAATCCCCAAAATGCCAGTAACGTACCTACTTGTCGTTGTACGTCTGATGTTTCAGTTGTCCATGGGCGGCGCCAATTGGTTACCATCAGGAGCATCAAATGATCTGTCTGCTCGTTTACTAATTCATTCCATAAAAATACATAACAGTAAATACATAACAACATATAATTAAGCTCGCTATTTCTCTATAAGTGCAAACTCATAAATTAAGCAACGTGTTTAATTGTTCATCATACCGCCCTGCACTACCTAAGCGGTTTGTGTCGCTTACACTAGAAAGTAATATACGGCACATAAATATTCATCAGGTAGTCATTAACGTCAGTGCTTAAAACTAAGCTAGATTCTAACGTAACTTAGTTGCAGTTTAGCTAACAAAAATAGCATAAATTTAAAGGAGATGCCCCAAGTATAACCTTGGTTTAAGTTCTTTACGCTTGCGTCGTAAAATTTATAACGAACTTGTACGAAAGGTAAGA